TCCTACTCCACTCAACTTTTATATTATGATATTCACAGTGGGCGGATTGTTCTAGCTATTTCTCTTCCTGCTATCTCAGGTTTATTGATGACATTCTTTAAATTATTCCTAGTCCTCTGTGATGTTGAATTATTTCAAGTCTTCCTTAACAAGCTCTTTTTCTTGTCTGTTATTGGTTGTGGGTATCCTCCAGGGGATAGCCCTTCAGCCTCTTGTAGATCTAAGAACTTTAGCTATCATCCTTGTGCACCCGGTTGAGGAACTGGGAAGTACATTTCTTGTTTTTTTGTTTGTTTGTTTGTTTGCTTAAGAGATTTTTACTATAGAGCACCAGAGAGACAAGAGAGACAGAAAGCAAGAAATCACTCCACAGAGGGCACACTGTACCACAGCCCCTTCTCCTCCATTCTCCTCTTCATTCTCCTCTGATCTTGGCGACACATATACACATGCCTGGTGTGAGTTTCAGGCCTTTGGGTATGGAACTTGAATATATCCGCCATGCGGCAGTCCAGCGAAGTAACTATTATGCCATCTGCTGGTCCTGGGAATTCAGTTTTAACCGTAGCTCTTTCTTAGCCAGTGCTGACTTCTAGCAAGATGTTTAAATTCTTCACTTCCCTCATGTCTAAAATTAAGGACATTTGTTTTCTCAGGTGTCTTCCAGCTCCACAAAGGACCTTTTCTCTACCTGTATATCCGAACCTTTGTTTATCTTCCCTACTCCAGTGAATGGCACTAGCAGTTACCCGAGCCAGAAACCTAGATATCAGCTTGATTCTTCCTTATCCTCTACTTCTCTCATCAGTTTCTAAGTTCTGTTATTCCATTTCTACTCATTCTTTGCAGTGCCTTGTTCAGACATTTCAGATAAGGAAAGTAAAGAATATTTGTTTAATCATATTTTTATGAAGTTTTTCTGGAAGGATGCATGGGAGCTGATAACATAGGTGATCTCTGTGAAGAACTACTATACTAATGGGAAGGAGACTTTATACTTTCTACCTTCTGAATTTTAGGACCATATCAGGATATTTGCTTTTCAAAAATAGTAGCAAAAGTTTTTCTTGTATTTATTCCATGAATTAGTTCCTACCACTCAGCTCCCAGATTTAAAGAAATTTTTTAAAAATGTTTTACTTTATTTATTTATTTTAATTTGACCAGAATGAGAGAGAGAAAGGGAAAATGAGGAAGCTAGCTGCTAGATCCGGGACTTGAACCATGGTCTGTCATATGGGAGTCCAGCACCCTTAACCACCATGCCACCTACCAGCCCCTGAGATTTAACACATTCTTTTTTTCAAAAGAGAGATTTTTTTTTTTCCTATAGGGCACATGCAGTTACCAGAGAGACAGAAAGCGAGAAATCACTCCCTAGGAGGTTGGCAATGCCACAGTCCCCTCTCCTCCATTCTCCTCTCAAGATTTTGGGCATGGACGCACATGTGCCTGGCATGTTTCAAGCTTTTGGGTACAGGACTCAAACCACAGTCGGCCATGTGGGAGTCCAGCAATGTAACCATTACACCATCTGCTGGTCCCTAACACATACTTTCTTACTCCAATTTCTATCCCTGCTCTGTCACACGCATCTGCACTCTGCCTTTAATATTTTTTCATTCTTTTCTTCTTGTTATTAAGATTATTTTCATTGAGGAGTCCTGCTTAACCCCAAACGTATCTTTTGGCAAGAGGGCACATACATTTGTGAGAGCGAGAGAACACATCCATGTGTATTCCTTAATGGGGTATGGTTATGCCACATCCTTTTTCCTTTATTTTTCCATACCGTCAGGATTTTGAGTATGTGTGTGCACCGAGCATATTTTTCAGGCCACCAAGGCTGGGATTTGAATTGCATTCATTTGTGAGGAATCTGACTTTCTTAACCACTAGGCTACAGGGTTAGCCCAGGTCTTGTTCATTCTTTTTTTCTTTGTTTCTTGTTTTTTTTTTTTTAAATTAGTTTATTTATTTGCTGTCATTCATTGTACATCAATACAGTATACAAAATGAGATTTTCCATCCAGAATACATTGTATATTGGCTCAATCGAGGATATTACCATACATTTTATAGTCCAGAAATAATTTCTTGTTTCTTACATGTTTTTGCTTCCTCTCCCTTGATTTCCTACCTCTTACCCTGTGCCAATTCCCCCCCCTACTGTCTCTGATATGTGCAGTTGTTTTCCATGCCTTTTTTTCACATTTTATGGGTTCATTAAAGATCTTAATTAATTTAAAAACTGAATAGCAAACATAGCTAATATGCATATCTGTGAACACATGTCTGACTTTAGGCATAAGCCTCAGTGAGTAAAGTGAACATACTATGAAGTAGCACCTAGCTGGGACTATATAGCTTACTGCAGTCATTAAATACGTCTTAAGAAGTATTTTTTAAATGCATTTTTCAGTTAAAAAAAGTTTTAGCTTTAATAGACCAAAATCAAAAAATGTAAAGAAAAATTTGTTTAAAACTTACAACCAGGAGAAAAGTTAGGATTCAGTTAAAATAGTAGGTAGATGAACCTATCAACAGTTCAAAGAAGACAAAAATCCTTAAATATGAAAATCAAAGCATCAAAGAAAATCAGTAATGTTTTAGTCTAAAGTCAAAAAATTCTCTTTTACTAGTTCAGTCTCATGTAATTAATCTCTCTTCTATTGAATTTGCAGTGTTACTGTGGTCTCTGATCTTTTCATTTAAACTCTGGAAGTTAACATTCAACTTAGAACTTGTCCCTACCATTAGGCTGGCCATTCTCTTGGTTGTTTTTGTAGTCTTATTTCTGTGTGTCCACCTTTAGTTCTCCTGATATAGTACTCCCTTCATCACTTCTTTTTGTTTGTTTGTTTGTTTGTTTGTTTGGAGAGGTTTTTTTTGCTATCGGGCACTTGTGCTCGCCAGACAGACAGAGACAGACAGAGAGACAGAAAGCGAGAAATCACCCCCCAGGGGGGATGGCCACGCCGCAGTCCCTTCTCCTCCATTCTCCTCTTGGGATCTTGGGCACACACGCACACGCGCCCAGCCTGAGTTTTAAGCCACCAGGTCCGGGACGCGAACCGCGGTCGACTACGTAGGAGTCCAGCGACATAGCCATTACGCTAACTGCTGGTTCCCCTCTTCATCACTTCTTAAAAGAGCTTGTCTGGTGTTGGTAAATTCTTTCAGGTTTTGTTTATCCGAGAATGTTTTTGTCTTTTTTTCCCATATGAAAGATAATCTTGCTGAGTTTAGTATTCCTGATTGAAATTGGTTTTCACTTAACACTTTGAATATATTTTCCCATTCTTTCCTTGGTTGTATTGTTTCTTTTGAGAGGTCCGACGTTAGCCTGGTGGGATATCCTTTGAAAGTAACTTGACAATTCTCTGTTGCCAATTTTAGTGTCTTGTCTCTGTCTGTGGTTTTGGTCAATCTGGCTGTGATGTGCCTTGGGGAAAATAATATTGGGTTGATTCTATGTGGGATCCTTTGTATTTCTTGGGTCTGGATATTTGAGTGCCTCTCTAAGTTTGGAAAGTTTCCTTCCAGAGTTTCATGAAATAGATTATCAGTGCCCTTATTAGTCTCTTCACCTTCTGGGATACCGATGATCCAGATGTTTGGGCGTTTAATGGTATCTAGTATAACTCATATATTCTAATTTTGGGGGGTTATTTTCTCAGTCTTTTTGGTGAATTTTTCTAGGTCACATATTCTGTGTACTACATCTGAGATTCGTTCTTCCACATGTTCTAATCAGTTTTTGATATTTTCAAGGGAGGCTTTGATTTTCTGTATTATGGCCTTCATCTCTAACAATTCCGCTTTATTTTTTTTTTATGACGTGTATCTCTTCCTTCAGACCATGCAAGAACTTTCTCACCTCCTGGAACTCCTTGTCTCTTTTCTCCTGCACTTTCTGGAGTGTGTTGTCTTTTTTCTTTTGCATCTCTGTTAGCTTTGTCACTATAAATATTCTAAATTCTTTATCTGAAATTTCCACGAGTTCCCTTGTATTGTTTGTGGAGGGTGAAGAGTTATTCTTTTCCCTGCAGGGGAGGAGATATTTTCTTGGTTTTTCTTATTTCTTGTGTCTCTGTGATGGTTTCTGGTCATCTGATGGATTATATGTTTTTTCCTAGTTTTTGGAGTTAAATCTGAGCAGAGGAATGCAGTCTCTAAACAGTACCGTTTTTCTCCTTTTGTGCAGCTGATTCAGTGGAAATTGAGGATTAATCTGACCCTAAAAGTATTCAGATATTTGGGTACTAAGCACCTAGACCTGTCTAGAAAATTAGTACATGGAGGCTGAACAGAAAAGTGAGAAAGGTAAAGGGAAAAGGAAAAGAAAAAACTGAAAAAGAGAAAAGTCAAGACAGAAATGATAAGAAAAAAATTTTTTCGA